TAATTATACAAGTAAGAATTATATTTGATTTTCAAATAAATATGTGTTATTTAAATACTGTTTTATTTTTAGTTGTTTTCATCATTTAATAATAAAAAGTCTGAGTTGAAAAAGGTTTGGTTTATTTGTATTTAAAGAAATTATTTTTTTATTCTTTATTGCTTTAAAAGTTTATTTACTATTTATGTTTTTTCTTAGGTTTAGTTCATTCTTTCAGATGTAATTAAAATGATTGTTAGAACTTGGTATATTTCCACTCTGTAGAAAATTATAGAGTCACTCAAACTAGATCTAAGGCCAGGTAAATAAAAAAAAGCAATTGTATTTTCTTAGTAATTGGTCAGCTTTATGTGAATAAATTCTTTAGCAATTTTGCTCATACTTTTATTCACATAGCTTTACGTGAATAAAATTTAAGCAAATTTGCTAATTTTTTTTTTTTCTTGTGGAGATAAACAGTAACTTCAAAAACTCTAATTAAAATCAATTGCTTTTTTTTATATGCCCTGTCTCTATTCTCATGTCCATCCTTTTTTTTTGATAAAATTTATCTTTTTTTTGGCTATACCAATTTGTATTGGTTGCAATTCAAACCAAAATTTGTAAACTTTTCTAGCTCTTATGATATATGTATAATTTTTACTCAATTCAGAAACAGTAGTTTCAGCTGGTGCAAGAACTTCAAAAAATTTTTTTCAGCGCAAGTATATCATTTTTTTAAAATTGATACACTTATTATATAGCTATAAGTCAAATTTGTATTTTACAAAAGCTTTTAAAAGTTACCTATTTAACATTACTCTCTAATTTTGATTTTCTTTCTTTTTCAAGAACATGATTAAAATGTCTAAAACATGTGTTGAAACAAAAATAAGTTTTACAGACATTTAAAACACTTTTTTTTTTGGAATTTAAATTCGTTTCCAACAAGGCTGCAAAAAACCTCTTATATATAAGAGGTTTTATTATAAGGCTATCAAAAAACCTCTGTTGGGAGTTTTTTCAAAAAACCTCTGTTGGGAGTTACTAGAATAACAAAGGATAGATTTAAAGAGCAGGGAAACAATTGACAGAAGACTTGAAAAGTTTTAGGTTGTATGAATCTGGACAGATACAGTAAAAGAAGGTGTTTTATACCGATTTGGTAAAAAAATGTTTAAATAATTATTATTATTATTGTAATTCTTATATTTAAAAAAATTCCTAATGCATTTTTGTTTGTTATTTTAAGGTTTATGTTTTGTTAAGAAAGTTATCTATAACTATAAAATTGCTAAAAAGCAGTTACTCATACTCAAAATTGATTATTGACTTATTTTGTATATTTTTATATTTTGTATCTTTTAAAGCTCTTATTTTTCTAATTGAATTTTAATGTTTTTATTTTATCCAATGTTTCGAAACAAAAGTTATTTACTTGGGATATGATTTAATTTGTTTTAAGTTTTTAATATTTTAATACTAACCTTATCTAAGTATTTTGTTAAATTAATATTTTGTTAATTTTTATAAGGTTTTTTTTGACCTTTAGGATTTAAATAGTTGCATTTTGTCATCTAATCAAATGAAAATCAATAATTTCAAAAAATGGTAAGGAAATATTTATAATGAATATTAAATCTAATGTTCTGTTTAATAAATTTAAATGTTGAGTTAATAGGTTATTTAATGAATAATAATATTCAAAAAATTTTAAAATTCCTATATAAATTCTAGTAAGGAAGATTTACCTGAAAAAAGTAATAAAGATACAATTTCAGGAGGCTTATCACAAGCATTGTAAGTTAACTGTTTTTTTGGTTATATGTTTTTTTTTTAACTTTTTACCTTGATTAGTGCATATCAATTAAGTGTTTTTAATTTTGGTTTGTAGTGGTTTTGAGAAGTGTACTGAGTTAGAAGAACAATATAATCAAGCATTAAAGTATGGAATAACCACATTATAATTAGTTTTGTAAACTTTTTAACAAAAACAAATATTTGTGTATTTATTTAATATTTCTGTTTATAGTAAGTCCTATTTAAGTTTCAGCAATGAAGATATTTTATTACCAGATGAAACATTTTTAAAAAACTCATCTCAGATATAGTAAGTTATTTAGTTTTTGCACAATTAATTTGGATTTAAAATTAAAAAATGACTCATTCTTAAACTTTGTCCAGATTTGTGCTTATTAATTAAATGTTTTTTAAATTTTGGTTTGTAGTAGTTTAGAAGAAAGTGCTTGTGAAGATAACTCTGAAAATTTGTATTCAAATTCAGTTAACAGGTTAGAGTTGTTTTGATCACAAAAGCAAAGTTGAATTTTTTATTTGTTTTTTCCAAATTATTAAATTTAAACTTTAAACTTAATTTTTAGTAAAAAAGTTTCACCTCGAATGATAGTTGCTGCCAGATGCTTGACAGATATATCAAAAAGAAAGTAAGTTAAGGTTTCTATTCTAGTAACACTTTTCCAGTTTATTTAGTTTTTCTTTGTAAGTTGATGCTTCTTGTTTTTTAAAACAAATACCATTTTGAAAAACGTTTCAAATTTAAAAGTAGATTGATGTCATTTAGGTATTATGAATAAATCTTTTTCTAAAATTGAGATAATTTTCTTTATAGTGATTCTGAAACCAATATCTCTATGTTCACTAGTGAAACTTCACTCACAAGGTAAGTTCATTGCTTAGTTATAATATTATTTGTTGAAGCAAACAGTAAAAAAAGGAAATAAGTTACTTTTAATACAAACATCACCATGAAATTTTTTTTTTTTGCTTTTTATTTTGTTGACAAATTTTGTTTTACAACCAATTGTTTTTAATTTCTATTACATTAAAACTGTTACATTTTGATTAACTTTTTTGTGGTAAGTTGATTTGTAATTTCTTATTTTTTAAACAGCAAATATTATTTTAAAAAAGAATTTTGAATTTTCTTTCAAGATAGAATAATGTTAGTTTGTATAAGTAAGTCATTTTTTAAATTGTATTATTGCTTTTTATATTGGTTTATAGTGATTCTATAGCAATAATTGCCATATAAATTCTAGCAATGAAGACTTACCTGGAAGAAGTAATAAAGATGCAGTTTCAGGAAGCTTATCACAAGTATTGTAAGTTTATTTAGTTTTATGGTTTGGTTTTGTTTTTCAATGAAAAAGATTATCTTTAAACTTTTTACCTTGATTAGTGCATATCAATTAAGTGTTTTTAATTTTGGTTTGTAGTGGTTTTGAGAAGTGTACTGAGTTAGAAGAACAATATAATCAAGCATTAAAGTATGGAATAACCACATTATAATTAGTTTTGTAAACTTTTTAACAAAAACAAATATTTGTGTATTTATTTAATATTTCTGTTTATAGTAAGTCCTATTTAAGTTTCAGCAATGAAGATATTTTATTACCAGATGAAACATTTTTAAAAAACTCATCTCAGATATAGTAAGTTATTTAGTTTTTGCACAATTAATTTGGATTTAAAATTAAAAAATGACTCATTCTTAAACTTTGTCCAGATTTGTGCTTATTAATTAAATGTTTTTTAAATTTTGGTTTGTAGTAGTTTAGAAGAAAGTGCTTGTGAAGATAACTCTGAAAATTTGTATTCAAATTCAGTTAACAGGTTAGAGTTGTTTTGATCACAAAAGCAAAGTTGAATTTTTTATTTGTTTTTTCCAAATTATTAAATTTAAACTTTAAACTTAATTTTTAGTAAAAAAGTTTCACCTCGAATGATAGTTGCTGCCAGATGCTTGACAGATATATCAAAAAGAAAGTAAGTTAAGGTTTCTATTCTAGTAACACTTTTCCAGTTTATTTAGTTTTTCTTTGTAAGTTGATGCTTCTTGTTTTTTAAAACAAATTTTGAAAAACGTTTCAAATTTAAAAGTAGATTGATGTCAAGAATAAATTTTTTAAAAATTTATTTAATATTTCAATTTTAAAAAAACTTTTTTAAAATTGAAATATTTCTTTTTATGATGGTTTATAGCGATTCTGAAAGCAATAATTTGATAAATGCTAATGAAACTCCACTTATAACGTAAGTTTATTGTTTAGTTATATTTTTTGATAAAGAAAATAAAATCAAACAGAAATATGATTGTTGACAAACTGATTTTTATTTTATGAACAATAAAACATGGATAATGCTGGTTTTCTAAATAAATTTTTTGTAAAGATTTTATATTCATACTTAAAAATTTTAATATTTGTAAATATAGTAATAATTAAAAAATTCTTTTTTAAATGTTTGGTTTGTAGATGCTTAGAACAGAGCGCTGATGTTTGTAATTCAAATAATAAATTATTAAAGTATGTAACTTTGCTTGTAATCTTTTAAATTCTTAAGTTTTTTCAATTTAAAAATTTTTCAGAAGTTTATACCTGATTGATTGTGGTTTATCGTTTTTTCGTATTTTGTTTATAGTGGGTTAGAAGAGAGCACTGTGATTGATTGGGGATGTAGCCAACATTTAATGTAAGAATGCTGCTTTTCTCTTTCAAATAACATAATAATTAAAAAGTTTGTTTTCTTTATTAAATTTTAATTATTAATATGAGATATGCACTAATTCCTGTAAGATATTTAGCTTTGAAGACTCAACAAAAATGATTAATGAAGATACAATATTAGCAGATATATTTCATATAGAGTAAGTTTAAAAAATGTTAAATACAACGAAGCAAAAGTAACTTATCTAAACAGATTAAATGTTGTGTGTACTTATTATGTTTTTTTTTTACTTGATTTGTAGTGCTTTAGAGCAGTGCACTAAGTTTGATGGACAAAGTAGTCTTAAAGTATTAAATTATGTGATTCACAAAATAGCTTAATTATTTCCTAATATTTTAATAATTAATATTTTAACATAATAATAATTAATTATAAATATGTATTAAATATCTCTGTTTACATCAGTATTTTTTTAAATTTCAGCGACCAAAACAATAAAATACAATGTAATAGAGAAACACTTACCGAAAATTCATCACAAATATAGTAAGTTGTTTATTTTTTACTATCTCTGTTAATTTGATTTAATATAAAATATGACATTTTGTCATTAAACTTTATGCTCTGGTTTATGCATATTAGTTAAAAGTTGTTAATTTTGTTTTGTAGTGGTTTAGTAGAAAGTACTTGTGAAAATAGTGCTAAAAGTTTGTTTTTAAAGTAAGTTTATAGATAGTGGGTAGTTTACTGCTTAGTTTTATTTTTATTCAAAGTTATTGCTTATTAAACAGAAATAAAGAAGTTTTTAAACTATTTTCAATTCTGAGTCAAAATTTTCAATAATTTGACTTAATTTTATATTAGATTTGAAAATAAGAAAGTTTGTCCTTTTTGTCATGAGTCAAAAGTAAAATTAACAGATCATGTAAACCGAGTACATAAACGTCCAATTGAAATTAGCAAAAGTGTTGTTGGTTTATATAACTTGAGAAAGGTTTGTGAAAAAAAAAGAACTAAATTAAAATGTAAAAATTACCATACAAAAAAAATGTGCCCTATACCAAATTGTTTCAAAATAACAAAAAATGTTGGAGAACACTTAAAAGGTAAAATGCATAATTTAAAACCTGGCCCTGAATATTATATGCTTCTAAAAAGTGCTAAGAGTTACAAATTACAAGATCCTTCTGAGTCACCAAGTAAAATTAAAGAAAAATACAAATCATTTTCTCCTGCAACTATATCAACTGTTACAAAAGATCAGCTACAAGTGGACTTTAATATTCAAACTCAAATAGCTACTGATCCATTTGAAAGAGAAGAATTAATAAAGTCTGACTCAAAAGAAGAAGAATTAAGAAAGTCTGATCAAGTTTTAAGCAGCCATTTATCTACTGAATCTACTGAACCATCAGTTGTTGATTTTGTTACTTTTAATAATAAAAATGAAATTGGTGATATTCAAAGTGATGCTTTTGATGAAGATGATAATAATGATGATGATGGTGATTATATACCCTCTGAGCAAGAGAGTGATGAAGAAACATTAAAAAAACTTTCTCCATCTATTGAAGATTTGTTAAACGATTTTTATCATTATCTTACAGGACCTGATAGAGCTAGAAAAAGTAGATCTATTGAAAGGGTTAAAAATGACGTTAAAAGGATTTTTTTGGCTGTTGGTTTAACAAATTCAATAAAATTATTGTTTGAAAATGACACAGATGTCATAAGAAAAAACTATCTTCAAGTATATTGTGTAAACAGAAAGTTAGAAGCTGGTTCAATTAAAACATACTTAAACTCTTTAAAAGATTTTTGTTCATATCTTATAAAATCAAAGTATCGTGAATTTGACCTGTCTTTTGAAACTATATTTCAAACTATTTTAAATATTGAAAATTGGAGAAAAAATTACCGTGCTAAAGACAGTATAAGAAAACATAAAAGAGCTGAAGATGACCTTTTAATGCTTGTTACCCCTGAACAGGTAAAGAAATATGAGCAGAGCAAAAATGCATCAACTGCAAAAAAATTACTTGAGGATTTGAAAAACAATCCGAATAAAGAATTGACTATGTTTGATTATTGTTGTTATAGGGACCATGTCTTTTTTATTATACACTTTGCCAGTGCCCATAGATCAGGTGTAACAGCAAATATGACTATGGAAGAATTTTTTAAAATGAAAGTTTTTAAAGATGGTATGAAAATGATAAATGTATGGGATCATAAAACTGTTTCAACTTATGGTCCAGCAAGAGTGACTTTAAATTCTATTGAATTTGAATGGATTGAAGTTTTTGTGAATCATGTTAGAACAAAATTACCTGCTATTCATTCAGATAAAGTATTTTTATCATGGTCTGGGAAAGAAATGTCTTCTGGGGATATAAGTGGAAGATTACATTCGCTTTGGGTGAAAGCTGGTAATTTTGATGGGCGCTTTGTACCCAAAAAGCTCTCTGCTAACATTGTCAGAAAAACAACTTCCACATTAGTTCGTAATAGCGAGTTTTATAAAGATAGAGGTGTTGTGGCTGACTCAATGATGCACAGTGAACTAACTGCTGCCACTCATTATCATACCAGAAGTCAAGAGCTTAATGCAATTACTGGTGGCAATATTGTGCGCAAAAATTTTTGTCGTTCCCCACTAACTAAAACAGACGAAGTTGATAAAAGTAGTTTAACTGAGGAAAAAAATGATCAGCTTCTTACGTCAGAGAACCTCTTAAGTAAAAATGATTTTAGTTTTTCTTTGATGAACACTCCTAAAAAAATCTGGAGTAAGGAAGAAACAAGTTCTTTAAATTTATTATTTCCTGATAATAAATCTCAAAATATATCGTATAACCAAGTAAAATCAATGCTTGCCAAATCTCCTTCAATTAACAGTTCACCTAGACAAGTTTATGACAAGCTGAAAAGAATGAAAAGAAAGTATCTGGAAGATATGCCAGAAGAATCAAAGGTTTTTTTCTTTTAATTTTTATTGGTTCGGTTTTAAGTCTTTTTTTCTTTTTTTTTCTTCTAAATTTTGCTTCGTAACTTCTCAAAATAATTATAATCTTATATATTGTTTAAATTTAATTTTTTTTCATACTAGGTCAAGAAAAATTTGCAGTTTGAACGCAAAACTTGGTCTTCTGAACAGATAAATGAGTTAAAAGTTAATGGAAAAGAATTAATTTTGGGAGGACCTTTATCACGAAGCCGAATTTTAAGTGTTCTAAAAAACTCTAAATTATTAAAAGATTTCACCATCACACAGTTGAGAACACGAATTAATCATGAACGAAATTAAACTTAGCTGTTTCTTGACTATAACTTATAAATAAACAGTTATTATTTTTTTATTTTTAAGTATTTAAATAAACATTCCAGCTTTGTTATTTCTTATATTAGGTTCCTTTTTTCAATATTAAGCTTAACTTTTATGATTACTAACGTGTGGCTTGGGAATGTTTCCATAAGGCCATTTCCTTATTTAAATACACCACTATGGAGAAATAGTTGAATCAGTTTTTACAACCAGATGTCTTTCATGGCATTAACCTGTTATGATGATCAGGACTAAGTATTTTTAATGTGATACACTAGGTATATTATCATACAAGGTTTGCAAGTTCCTCCAACTTTTCCCCACAAATAAATCAAGGGGTTTTATATCATAGCTTTCTTTGTCCTAGAAAAGTTGTCTTTGCCACAGTTAAAGAGCTTTACCTGCCATAATCAAGTATCAGTTTAACTTCATTACCAGAACAAGGATTGATTCATATATATTAAATGTTATCTTGCTTACATTCAATCACTAACAATATGATAAAATTTGAAAAAGTAGTTTTTACAAAAATGGGCAGAATTTTTAAATCATCATAAATAGAGACAATTTAAACTTAGATTAAGGTTTATTACTCTGTTAATTTGAAACTAATGACAAATTCTCTTAAATTATTTCAATCGAAAAAGATAATTTTCTAAAAAAAAGGAACACATGATAAAAGTGAATAAGAATGATTATTATGAATATGAATAAGGACTTTTTATGATGTCACTAACAAAAATTAAACCTAAAATATAATAGCACTGTTATTTTTACCTTTTTTATTATGACTGATAATAATTATTAATTTAATACTGATTAAGATTTTATAAAAACAAATTAAAAATCTAAGGAGAGCTCTTAAATTCAGTGTTATCCCTTGGACATCTTTTTAACACACATTTAAGATTAATTTTTAAATTAATCTTAAATGTGTTAATCTTAAATCTTTTAAATTAAATTTTAAATAACTACAAGCAATCTCTCACAGTAAATGACAATACAGTTACAGTTGCAGACAACGTCTTACAGTCTTACAGTTAATGACAACCAATAGAGTAAAGTTTTTACTGTCAATTGAAAACAACGTTTAAAATGCCAACTCAATCTAGTTAGTGTGTAAAATAGTTGTATTTATTCATATTATATAATATAAACTATTGGTGCCACCAGTTAGTGCTAGTGAATATTTTAATATTGTTGTATTTCTATTACAACAAAATAATAAACTTAAATGATGTACTCTTTTTTTTTGCAGTTGAAACCAATGAAAGTTTCTTTCAGAAATTAATGGCAGTGAAGTGGTACCTACAGTTGCAGCTCAAAATAAGTAGGTTTGAAACTGTCTTTGTGTTGATTGTGTTCTTTCTTTTAATATTTTCTTTACTTGATAAAATTAGTAAACTTTGGCCAAATTTAATTAGTAATTTAGTAATTTGCCTTTCATTTTTGTTTTTCAGTTCTACTTATAGAGCAATACGTGGTATAGATACAAAGACGTGGTATTAAAAAATGCTACAGTTAAAAAAAATCGTTTTACGATTTTTTTGAGGTAATTGTGAGCCTAAGGCTGATGATAAATAGTACATCTGGCTCCGTATATATGTATACACACAAACACACACAAGCTATTTACAAATCGATATTTCTATATTTAGGGTAAACTTTAGGCAAAGAATGCGAGGAACTGTTAAACTGTTATGAACATATTATGCACTATACCATATCATGCACTACACGTGGCGCTCAGTTTACTCGACGATCCAACTTAACAGGATATTATCCATTTTTCTAATATATATACATAGATGCAAAGTATTCAAAATGATTATATTGTTATTTATATATTTAGGATACATTTAAACTAAAGACTATGAAGAGCTGTAAAACTGCTATTGGCAACAGTTGATAATACTAGACGCATGTGTTAGTAAGTAATTTGAATCTCTGGTTGGAATTCTTTTAAATGCTTTTATGCTTTTTACCCATTGTTGCTGTGGAAAAGCTCAATACCAAAGATTTAATAAAGGCAGAGTTAGGCAGGGTCGAAGGATATTTTTCGAACTAATAATCCATTGTAGTGAAAAACGAACTAGTTCAATCTTTTAAAAAAAAAAAGTTTTTTAGATCATAATCGTCTTTGAAGTAAAAAAGTAAACATGCCCAGTGGGCACAAGAAGCGTTTTAAACGTCTAAATCACGTATTAAAACGTTTTAATACATATTCTAGACGTTTAAAACACGTCTCGTGCCCATTGGGTGATTTGAAGTAAATTTCCATTTGTTTTATTTTTTTCAAGAAAAAAAATTTGAAACTAAATCTGTAGTTTTTTTTTTTTTTTTTAAAGCAACATTTAATTTTTCTTGCCGCCATTTGTGCTATAAATTGCTGACAACGTTATTTTATTGCATAAATATGTAACTCTAAACTTTCAAAATTCAATTAACACCATTACGTCCAAAGATATTGCGCAGCGAAGAGAGTTTGGTGCAGATTTTTCAAGTAAAATCATTCCTAGACAATGAAGCACATTTTTACATAGCTTTTAAATATTGATCGTCAAAATTGCAGTCGTTGAGGTCGTAGAACCCACAAAAAACGAATGCATTTTTAAGTGATTACTGTTTGACGCGCATTAACTTGACTGCATAATAAGTTAAAAATGCGTTATCTTCTTGTACCTTAAAAAGTTTAAAAAGATGTAAACTATTTTACAAATTTTAGGGAGGATAACTAAATGGTTTATCTCCTATGGAATTACAGTATCGGACAAAACAAGTGCAAAAAAATAATCCTTATTTAGTTTCTTTATATAAAAGTGCTTCATTTTTTCAATTTAGAGAAATAACTATGTAACTGTTTAGAGACAAAGTTCTTCAAGTTTTATTCATCACAAAGTTCACTATTTGTACACAAAAATTAATAAGTTAATCAAAAGTATTAAAAAAAGTTGATTTCCTTCTAGACAAAAATAAGTGCAACTCCGCAAAATGTTGACCATGCTGTATTTCGCTATCAATACTTCGTAGCGAATCCTTTGTTGTCGATCACTGCCTTGCATTTTCGAAGCATAGATTCGATCAGGTGATCAATAAAACTTTGTGGAATTGCTGCCCAGGCTTTTTGGATTTGTTCAAACAGTTGATCCTTAATACGAACACCTTCACAATTAATTCTGCGGTTGACAATCTCCCACAGGTTCTCAATAGGGTTGAGATCCGGAGATTGAGGCGACCAATCCATCACCGATAGGTGATTGTCTTGAAACCACTGCTTGACTACTTTTGCATATGTTTCGGATCGTTGTCTTGCTGAAAAACCCATTTTATTGCCATATTCCATTCAGCATGAGGTAACATAACATCTTTCAGGATATTTTTATACATGAAACGGTCCATTATTCCATAGATTCGATGTATAAGACCTAGACCGTTAGCAGAAAAACACCCCCAGACCATTGCATCGCCTCCACCATGCTTGACAGTCTTATGACAGTTTCGTAAATCGAGGCGTTTTCCGGCCGGTCGACGTACACGGCAAATGCCATCGCTCCCGATGATGTTGAACTTCGATTCATCACTGAACAGAACAGTTCGCCATTTCTGCACATTCCAGTCAATATGAGATGTAGCAAACAGGAGCCTTACTTCTGATTATTTAGTGAAATCAGCGGTTTTTTTGCAGGGCGTCGAGAAAACAATCCGGCTTCAACAGCACGTCGTCTGAATGTTTGGTCCAATACAGGCAGCTTTAATTGCTTTTGTATCTCGACTTATAAGATTCAGGGATCCTTCTTAACGGATCTGACGATCATAGAACCCTCTCTAGAAGTGGTGGAACTCGGTCTACCACCTTTGTTATCTGCTGCCAACTTCCCCGTAGAACGATATTTGGAACATAGCCTTGATACGGTCCATTTTTTAACGCGATATTTATCACAAATACTTTTTTGTGACATTCCACTTACGTAATTGCAAATAATTTTTTTTTCGTAGTTCCAATCTAAGACTGTCGGGAGCCATATTTGCACTTAAAGTCATAAAAATAATAAGAATAAATAATCACGCTTCTTAAGGCTTACCGTGATACATTTACCTTGTGATTATACAATGATGCTCTGTGGAACACAACGTCTTGGTTGGATGATAACTGTATTGATGTAACGAAACACTTGTTGTATTTCACTTCTTGTATTGATGTTTTTCGATAAAACACTTTGATAAAACTCACTTCGATGATAATACTGACTGATTGACTTCCATACACTGACTGAATTACATGTTGGTTTACATGTCTCTTACACAGTAAAATGAACCTGTGTAAACCTATTCTGGAAGATTCTAGATGCTTCTTTTTGATGCTTCTGGAAGCTTCTGGATGCGTCTGGATGCTTTTGAATGTTTCTGGATACTTCTGGATGCTTCCAGATGTTTCTTCTGGAAACTTCTGGAAGTCTGCATGCTTATGGAAACTTCTGGAAACTTCTGGATACTTCCTTTAATTATTAAAAAACTTCCGTGACGTTGACACGGACCAGACTTAAAAAAATGAAACAAACCAAAAAAGTTGCACTTGTTTTGTCCGCTGCAAAATGGCACTTGTCAACGAAATTCTGCCTGTGTGCTGTCACCTGTCAGCTGATTGCTCATGTCATGGCATGCTATGACTCCAGACTTCTGAACTGTTTGCTGTGGTAGTATAGTTCGTTCCGTTTTTAAGACATGTAAAATTAGTAACACCTTTTTAGAATTGTTCGATGTTGGTTGCAAATGTTTTGTCCAATACTGTATATCCTTTCAAGAGTTTAAAAAGCATTTATGCAGCAAAAGCTCATTTGGTATAACGGTATTACTAGTGACTTAGCACTAAAGTTTTATATCTTAAATTAAATTTAAAAATTGTTTTTGAAAAACATTTAGTTTGAAATGTGACCATGTTTGTTTACCTTTTGTGCTTAGACTATTGATTGTGTGCAGTATGTGGTTTTAGCGTAAAATGTTTTATAAGTTTAGGCAATAAAAGAGAATAAAAATTAAGCTAAAATCAACAAAATCATAATTTGTACCAATAAGAGCATTAAATATTAAATCCTAGCGGGCATGTTGTCCAAAAAAGATTTTTTTTAATAGTTCAAAGACTTCTTTTTGAATCAAACAACCACTCGGACCTGAGACGTCCACATGGTTATTTTAACTTTGGAACACAATACGTGAAAATAAAATTTTCACGTCTTGTGTTCCAAACTTAAGTATGTCTATTCCTATGTCAAATAAGGAGACCTTGCAATTAATTATAATGATGGAAGCCGGGGGAAAAAAATATTCAATAAACTTTGGCCTCCCAACCCAAACGTGAGGGCAGTTATGTAGTAAAATTTTTAAATTTACTATGTTATACTAAATTCAAATTCATCAACAGACTTTTAATTTTATTTGAAAATATTATAAATCACAAAAGTTATAACCATGCAAAATTTG